AGAGAGAGAGAGAGGAGAGAGCGAGAACCTATACAGGCTGCAAAGTCATGGCGGCAGAGGAGGTCATCCTTAGCGAGCTTGTCAAACCTCGCCGCCACCTGCGGCCACATCTCCCCGGAATCACCACCGCCGGCGGTGGCCGTCTTGCTTATAAATCTCAGCCCTTTGAGCGCCTCCTTCGCTCCGGATCGCGTCCTCTCGAGCCGCGCTTGCACCCTCCGCGCTGCCCTCGCGTCTGTGACTGGCGCTTCCTCTGTCGTCACCGACCGACCTGACAGCGATCTCGCCCGCGCAAACCGTCGAAGCTCAGTCACAAACTCATGAGAAACGCAACGCACCCTCTCTGCAACTCTCTTCGAACCACTCCTCCCGAACAGAGCGGCCTTCATCGAGTCTGATTGCGGTGTTGAGTCGTCGTGGTCTTCAGCATTGCCGCCCATTACAAGCAGGGAGTCGCCATTGTCGATTTCAAGGGTGAGCTCCACCAGCTCTTGTGGGCCGGCCGCAGCTAGGTCGCTGAAGAAGAGAGGCAGCATTGCCCCTCCGCCACTGCTGCTGGTTCGAGCCATATCATCGAGCTCTCCAGAATTTTTCCTGAAACTTGAACGGCTTCCGAGAGAGAAACTCCTCATGTTTCCTTGTATGTTTTCACACAACGAACAGCAAGAGAGAATTTGTATAAAAAACTGAGATGGAGAGAATAGAAATCGAAGAATTGCAAAGAGTTTTATTTAAAACCAGAGGGAGAAAGAAAGAAAGAGCGAAATCTTTGATTTGTTGCAGGAAATTCTCAATACGAAACAGTAGTAGTATCGGGGAATGTTTGCTTCAGGAGAGAGAAACAGGAGAGAAAAGTAGATTTGTTGAAAAATGAAGAGAGAGAAAGGGGGAATTTTTGTTTTGGAGCCCTGTTTTTTAGAGAGAGAGAGAATAATGGAATGATCTTCAGGGGGCAATTCAAGGCCGAGATTGAGCTCTTTCTCGGGATTACAGTTTTCTACTAACACTCCACAGATTAAACTGCTAATGAGCTTCTAGAAATTACCCTTTATTCATAAAAAAAAAATAACACTCGTGATAAGGAGGACCAGGAGATTGAAACTTTTGTTTGATCTCTAAAGTCTCCTCTTTTTGGATTATTATAACAAGAAGATTTATCTTCCTAACGCTTCATCTAACCATTTCTACCTCTTAGTCCACTTCTTTAATCCTTAAAAAAACTCTTAAACTCTGGTTTCTGACTCCTCTCCCAACAACTCTTACTCCAAAATCCTCGGTTTAATAGATCAACCCCCCTCTCTCTCCCTCAACAAATCTGTCTCTCTCTCTCTCTAAAACTCTAATTATTTGATCCCAAAAGTCTCCCTCTTATGACTGGATCAAGGAAAATGTAGCCATTTTCCGACTTGTTTAACCTCATATTCTCTATTAACATCAACCATTTGTAGTCGCATGAAGCTTTCTCAACTACTTTTACTTCGAAACAAGCAAGAGATTTGAATCTTTGTTTTCTTGTAATAACGTTTGTCCTTGACTATGACTATTTGAACTTAAGAGAAGGAAATAAAGTTTAATGGAATTCTTTATTACCTTTACTTCTCACCACCACAACTTTAACAGTTTTCAATTCCAAAACCATCAATTTCTTACTATTTCAGTTTAGAAAACAAGAAAGAAATAATGCTTGTGAACACCATTTCCATCCTTTTTTCACCTAATTCCTCTGGTTTTTCTAAGTGAAATTGCTAGAAATAAGCACAAAAAAGAGCGAAGCAAGTTCTATGAGAAAAACCATGGTTTTTATTAAAACAAGGTGAAAAGTTGTTGGGAAAAAGCAGGGAAAAAAGGATACCTGAAACTCCACAGACGTCATTGGGTTTTCAACTGGGTGGCTGAGCGCGCTTTACGCATGCATGGTAAAATACTCTCTCTCTCTCTATCTCTCTCTCTCTCTCTCTCTCTCTCTCTCTCTCTCTCTCTCTCCTCTCTTTCTCTCTCTAGCATTAAAAATGGCAAAAAAGGGAATAACAATCGTAGAGATGGAGATGGGAATATTTCTGCTAAGTGGGCGACAGCTATATTTATATGCATATTACATGGACAGTGGGAGGCTTCCAAACGCGACTTTCAATTTCTTCAAGTGAATGGGCTTCGCGTGAATGGTAGAAGGGAATCGGCAACTGTCCGTCGTTTTATCGTACGGCCGGTAAAGTTTCGGTTGTTTCCCTGTTTCACTTGTAGGACCACGGCGACTTTTTGGGCAGGTTGGTGGTCCAGCGGGTCGGAAGCCACATCATTTGAGAGGCAACAAAATGCTTGCAACAAAAGAAAGGAATTTTTTAGTTAGCATTTAAGAAAAATTGGATTAGTTAACATTCAAGAAATTTTTTATTAGTTATAGCAAAAATCACAGAAAACAAGATCGTGTTAAATGACTAAAAAATTGGATTAGTTATAGCAAAAGTTACAGGAAACGAGCTTGGGTTAAATGGCTAATGTGTTTGGCGATTAGTTCGTGACGCTAGATCCCAAGCTTCATTTTTATACCTGGTTAAGGGGTCATCGAGTCATTGAAGAAAAAAATAAAAAATAAAAAATAGCCTTTTAAAAAAAAGTTATCACAAAAATGGTGTCAAAAGATTATTTGAAAGAGGGAACTTGAGATGTTAACTCTGATCTACCATTTTATAGTTAATTTAGATTACCTCGATACAACAAAGACGTCTTCATCATCATCGGAGCTTTATCACAACTAGATGTGGTTAAGATATAATGCATGTATTTGTTTATGAATGTGCTAATTTCATGCATGTATGGAGGGAGATATGTATGTATGGTGCTTGCATGTAAGTACTTTTGTTTGAATCAGGCTCTTTGAAAACTTAGAAACCTGATTAATATCATAAGATGATGCATGTGGTCACATCTCTCTACTTCTTTCTCGCCTCCAATTTACCTCCCTCGTAGTCAAAAGATTCCTCAATATAAGACAACGACATCATAACTTACATATTGATGTTGTTATGCCCACTAATTTTGGCCGACAGTCCATTGCAGATGTCTTGGATATGAGTATATATGAGATACTTGTATTTTTTATACCAGTGTTTAAAAACTCGGCTAGTTGGACTCGGACTTCTCAAGTAACTCAAAACTGTTCAGAAGAACAAGTTTCAAATGATTCAAGATCATTAGTCTGAGAGAGCCTATTTGAGTCCTCATAAAATAGTGAGTGATAACAAAAAAATACAAAAATTTTAAGGACACAAGCATTGCGCGTCTATGGCATGTGTAGTAGCTGTGCTGGGGGCGAGTCCGATGTTTGAAACACTATTTGAGACGGTTATAATCATGCTATTGAGAAAGCATTGCGCGTCTATGGCATGCCACACCATGCAAAAAACATGGATGAGAGAAGCGCCATGATTAGTTTCGAATTGCAAAACTTGTTTGTATGCTCTTAAATGGACGACATAAAAGCAATTAACTTGGTAATGCATTATTCTATTCATTTGGATCATGAATTGTCTGGGTCGGTTTGGTTCTGTCAAAAAGTCAGGAACCGATTGTTTTTTTTGAAAGAACTGGTTGGTTCTATTAGAGAAGTAATCCCATTTTATTTTTTTTATTTTTTTTCAATTTTTTTTGATCCATATATTTGTTTTAAAATTTTTTATTCGCCAATTCACTAAGCCCGATCACCTGTCGAGATCGTTGATTTGCCGATCCCGACTGATTCTCCAAAGGGGTGAGTGGGGTCACGATTAGCGTGACCTTGGCTGCAAACTTACAATTGAGGTCAATAATCTTTTATAGAATATTTCTCATTCCATGAGAATCGCAAACAACACTTCCAAATTTTACGCAATAGTTTGAACTCTAAAGAGAAAATTTACATCAATCTTTTCCAAAAAATGATTGACCACCCTCCTCCACTCTCTTATTTTTTTTTCAAAATAAAAATACCCACAATTAAACTGTCCTACTTCACTCTCTCTCTCTTAAATAGTACCTCTCTCTAACCTGATGGGGTGTTTTAAGGACCACTCTATCTCTATCATTGCTGCTAATACACATGCATGTGAACTACAGAGAGAGAGAGAGAGAGAGAGAGAGAGAGAGTATTTTACATTTATGGATGATTTGAATGCGTAAAATTTGCTAACTCCTGAACTTTAATATCTCAAATAAGGGTGTGGTATGTATAAGACTGAGGCTCTAAACAATCAAAGTAAAGCACACCATTAAATAGTGTCGGGAAATTTCAATACTCTATATTTTTGTTATGGTCTTAAAATTTATTTTCATCTCTAATTATAAAATTTAAATATTAAAAAATAGTATAGATCGAGTAGATATATGAAAACTTGAAAATCTTGAAAATTGACTGTCTAAAAATACATTACAAGATGCACCATTTTCAAAATTTGAAATCCAATTTTTTTCTCATGTCCATGCTATCTTGAGGTTGAGATGATCAATTTGAAGAGCTTTGAGCATCAAACAACCTCTTTTAGTGAAATTTTTGATGTGCTCTTAATTTGATTGTTTAAAGCCTCTCACTTATATAAACTTTTTCCCACAAATAAATACTATTTCCAGTCAAACGAGACTCCAGCCACCTTTCTCCCTAGCAGCCACCTCTCCCCCTCTCAAACATGGGCCTATTATTAAAAGTTGAGATTCCAACAGGGAAAAGTTATGCACAATTTAATTGAAGACATTGTAATATAATTATATTTGGGGTGTTTGTCCTTTCCAAATAAAGCTAACCTACCCAAAAAAGAAGATTATTTTTGCAGTCCAATAAATAAATTAAAGGGTTTCGAATACATGAGTAGGGTAAATTTAAAGGCGACCCACGCATAAGGAAGAAGAACCAATTAGACAAAACGATTTAATCATGGCCATGAATGTTACCTGTAGCATACAAATCACATTCATTTCCTATAAAATGTCATTATCTCCGAACCTATGGAGTTCACTCAAGCAATAAAAATTCACTACGACATACCTAATTACAATAAAAACAAGTCACAAGCTTCTAGAACAATATATAATAAATGCTGAGCTTATAGAAACTTAAGATATGTATAAAGAAGCAATTTTTTTTTCTTCATTAAATTTTATCATTATTTAAGAATATTATCGTATTGTATGTTCTACACTAGTTATATATGCAGAAGCATTTCATGCTCCCTCGGAGCATACTATTTGTTTATTCCCATGGGTAAAACTAGTGTATGAGTATCTTTAGGATATGATCTCTTCAACCTGCCTGAAGATTTTTTTTTTCCCCCCAAATTGTACTCTCTTTGCACTTGACAAAAAAAAAAAAAACTCAAGACTGATCACAGAAGACCAAAATTTGGAGGGGGAGATCTACGTTCTAGAGAATTCAAAATTCAAAATTTCTCTTTTGAAAATAGTCGTCTAGTGATTCTGAGGTGCTTCTCAAAATTTTAGATTAAGAAAATCCTTCTCTGTAGGTCTTTTGCCAAGGGAGTAGGTCTACAGTATTGCTCCGGCATGAGCATAGTCTGCACGCTCTTTATATTGTACATGTCATCTCAACCATCCGTCTTGACGACAAATTGTGAAGATGCAGTGCTCCTCTGTTTGAGTAGATAATATTTATGAATATTTCATTGAGAATAGCCAGTAGGGATTCGTATATATCATGTTATACATGTAGCATGGTAGATTTCCTTCTTTACTGTTGTATTTGTTTTGGTGAAACTTTTGGGAAGTGGGAGAACTAAGTTGTATTAATCAGACTCCCACATTTGTTGCATTCTCATGGAAACCGCAAGATAGAACATGCAGATTTCATAAGGGTGAAAAAGCAATATTTTTTGACTCTTGTTTTAAGGAGTGACTGAAAATTTGGCCGACTAGTTTTTACTTGGCCAAGTTACTCGGGCTTGGGCCCTTATTTGAGTCGGAGTTGTCCCAGATGGGTGTCCAACTCGGGGATATAAAAAAACATTTAAAAAAAGTTATACAAAATCCAATAAAACTAAATAATATATTTGGATATGTTTTTTATATCTTGTATCATTTTGAAAAAGACTGGAAAGTGTTTTGGCTATAAATACTTATTTTTACAATTTTCAAATTTATGGGATGTCTCAAAAGAGACATTTTTTGAGTTATTTAAAATATACCCCAAGTTACGAGTTGATTTTTTAAAATCGGTTTTTTTACTATTTTTTTAACTTAATCTTACTTTAAACATATATTTTCTATTTTTAAAATTTTTTGTAGTTTTTTTGACCTTTTTTTCTATTGCTACAATACTCGGTACTAATAGGGCCGATTTACTTGGACTCGGCCCGAATAATCAGCTTGGGGCCATGACAAATTACTCGGTCCGGGTCACACTTTCGAACACTTATTTTAAGCATGGAAGGGGCGGCTTCCAAACTTCCTGGCTGCTCCCGCTTCCATAAACAAACACACAACACTAGTTTTAAGCATGGAAGGGGCGACTTCCATGCTTTCTAGCCGGGTCCGGCTTCCATCGCCCTTAAAGCTATTGACAATGCTCCGAAGCCGCATAAACGCGTAAAGTACACTATTAAAAAATTGCATAAATGAACTTAGCCAAACAACAGGAAATAAAAAAAAGTATATATGGATTACGGATCTCGATTAAGATGAGCACGTCCATTGGGGGGTTGCTCAAGTAGATAGATAAATTGCGTACCAAGTCAAGCGGTGGGCTCACAATCTAGAAGCATGGAGTACATTTGATCCATGATTCGTGCTCTTGAGCTCTCTCCACATTTCAAACACTACGTCACTAGCAGTACATACAAATATATGTACTACAAAATCACAACTATCATGGTCGCTTTCATACGTTACCCAAGTTACCTTTCAAAATCTTCTTATTTTTTGGGCAAGTTATTTTCCCCACTATTTTTCAAATTAAGGAACATCTATTTTTATAGAATACTTTTTGGGTTTTGGTCAAATGACCTACTTAGGATAATTTTTTCAATCTAAAATTTTGGGAACCACCTAAAAATAA